AGCAAACTTATCACACGTTAGAGGTTGGCTGCAACAACATCAATGGTCTGTATAGTACAGATATTTGGTGGAACTGTACGCAATGTATGTGCACAATCTGCCAACACACAGTTGAGTTATTATACATGTGGAGCTCTGTGATACACTCATATAGACTGCACATTACTGTAAGTTTTAGTACTGTGGAGCTCTGTGATATAATCAGCAATACTGCACATTACTGTGAGTTTTAGAACTGTGGAAATCTGTGATATAATCAGAAATACTGCACATTACTGTGAGTTTAAATGCTGTGGAGCTCTGTAATATATACTCATACATACTATACATTACTGTGAGTTTTATTGCTGTGGAGCTCTGTGATACACTCATATAGACTGCACATTACTGTCAGTTTTATTCCTGTGGAGCTCTGTGATACACTAATACACACTGCCCACTCACACTGTGAGTTTTATTACTGGGGAGCTCTGTGATACACTCATGCAAGCTGCACATTACTGTGAGTTTTATTACCGGGGAGCTCTGTGATACACTCAAGCAAGCTGAACATTACTGTGAGTTTTATTCATGTGGAGCTCTGTGATACACTCATACACACTGCCCATTACTGTGAGTTGTATTGCTGTGGAGCTCTGTGATACTCTCATACACACTGCCCATTGCTATGAGTTTTATTACTGTGGAACTCTCCAGTAATAAAACTCACAATAAAACTCACCGTTATGGGCAGTATGTATGAGAGTATCACAGAACTCCACAACAATAATACTCACAGTAATGTACAGTGTGTATAAGTGTACCACAGAGCTCCACAGTAATAAAACTCATAGCAATGGGCAGTGTGTTTGAGTGTATCACAGAGCTCCACAGTAATAAAACTCATAGCAATGGGCAGTGTGTATGAGAGTAGCACAGAGCTCCACAGTAATAAAACTCACAGTAATGTGCAATGTGTGAGTGTATCACAGAGCTTCCCAGTAATAAAACTCATAGTAATGGGCAGTGTGTATGAATGTATCACAGAGCTCCACAGCAATAAAACTCACAGTAATGGGCAGTGTGTCTGTGTATCTGCATGTGTGTCAGGTTGTGTACCTTTGTGTCAGGTTGTGTATCTGTGTGTCTGTATATCGGCATTTTGTGTTTGTGTGTATCACAGTGTGTGTGGCAGTGTATCTGTATATGTGCATACATCTCAGCATTCAAATGCCAACATTACATACAAATACACTCCTACATTGAAACGTTAACAGTACATACAAATACACCCCTGCATACATATAAATGCATGCTTGCATTCAAACATTCAAACACACAAACACTGCACATTGCTAAATACATCCCTATAAGCATGGGACAATGGTAGAGCCCCAGCTTTCAAAGGAATGGAATTGTATGACAGATGGGGATCTAGCTTTTGGTCACGCTTGTGATAGTGGGGCCCAAAAGAAGCCCTTTCTAGTTTAGTTCCGTCACTACATTGCAGAGGAGGGCGTGATTGCATATTGGGAGGGTGGAGCGGAGGGCCCAAGCAAATGCTTGCCCAGGGTCCAATCAATATTAAAGACGACCCTGGTTGAACTACAACATCTATTGATTTAAAGTGAAAAAAATAAATATATTAATAAGTCACCCATTCCCTGTGGAATAACCCTAATAAATAATACAATCAGCTCACCATCTACTTTTTTAGTAGCCACTTAGTCACAAACACTGGCCAAAATTGGTGTTCAAATTAGTTTTTTGCATTTTTCATACACAAACAAATATGAACACTAACTTTGGCCAGTGTTTGTGACCAAGTGGCTACTAAAAAAAGACTGGACATACCCCATTTGCAATACCCTGGGTTGTCTACTTTTGCAACTGGTATGCCATCATGGGGGTAATTCTCATTCCTGGGCTACCATACGGTCTCAAAGGCAACGTAACCAATCTGGCGAATTTCAATGTGAAAAAACTGAAAAATTTAACATGCTATATTTGACCCTTTAACTTCCCAAAACACCATAAAACCTGTACATATGGGGTACTGTGTTACACGTGAGACATCGCTGAATATAAATATGTGTATTTTATTGCAGTAAAAGCAAACAGTATTTTGACATTTACAGTTAAAATGTCACGTACAACTAAGAAAATTTAAAAATAAATCTTATTTTCTCCCATTTTTTTTATATATTATTCATATTAAATGATGTTTCATACCAAAATATTTGATGTTAAATGAAAGCCCTGTTTCCCCTGAATAAAATAATATATAATAAGTGTGTGTGCACATAATATGAAGAGGCGAATTACGCCTGAACAGACATATAGCGCAAAATCCAGTTTTTGTTTACGTTTTGTTTTGAACACAACGTGTACATTTGGCTGAGTTCTTAAGGGGATAATCAGATATATGTAATGTAATTGTCCATTTGCCTGCACTCCAGTAAAATTATTAAATAGGGCCCGGTGCTTGTCTGCATAGATATATACAGGTTTGAAATGATAGCACTCCAAGGACTTGTTAGTGGTGAAAAAGATAAAACTTAGTTTTTATTCAGGTCGGATGCCAATAAAATCGATCAACATGATGTTTCAGTTCAATACATGAACTTTATATACATTAGGATCATATATATGTATGATCAACAAGGATGCTTTCCCTACACTATAAAAGCAAACAAACAAAGGGATGGGACTGCCCCAATAGGCAAGGTAAATAAATTAAAGTCCTAATTGAGGTAGTAATAATAAAATGGAGTCCAGTATAGTGGAACTTGGATCCTAGGTTGATCTCTGGAGTTGTAGGGTTCCGCTCCTTGCAGGTTTTGAATATATGGAAGAGGGCGATGAGTGATGAAAAGGGTTATGGTACAGGGTGATAAAAGAGATATCACATATAAATACAAGAGATCTTACTCACTTTCTGTAGAGCTTAATCCAGCTCTGGTGTGAATAGCTTGCAGCGGTATGATCCCCGCTTGTAGGATATGCGGTGAGTTTCCTCTTAGCTGCAGTAACAGACAGCCATGGGGGGAAATAAAACATAAAACAGTAATGGTGCAGTATGTTCCAAAAATAGATACAAAATGTTAAAATATAGTAGATCCACTCACATTTGATAGAGCTTATACTAGCTCTAGTGTAGTAGGCATACAGTGGTATGATCCCCGCCTCTGGGACATATGATGAGCATTATTGGAGATGGTAACAGGAGCTCAGAGAGAAGATAATAAAACAGCAATAGTGCTTTCAGTAAAATATTTCTGGTACATAAAATATAATAAAATATACTCACAGTATATAGGGCAGGCTAACCGCTCTATGACACGGGCACGGTTGGTATGATCCCCACCTAAGGATTCTTTGGAGTATAGAGAAAGGTAAGATAAAGTAAAAAGCCAGGTAGTTGTAAAAAATAAATAAAACTGTAAATAAAAGATAATGGTACAAAAGAGTAAAAGGAACAAAATCTATTTATTAACAATAATTAAAAGCAGTACAAAACGTGTTTTATCAATATAGGCTTTATCAATGGATTAAAATGGTTTTGTCCCATCCCTTTGTTTGTTTGCTTTTTTCCATTTACTTCAAGGACACGTGAGGCCAATGCAAGGGGCATATGCATGTAATGTTGGCGAGAGTCCTTGATCATCTTCGCATCACAGAGACCTAGGTGATGCTCAGCTCGCCACTATGGCAGAATCAAAGGTGGTTCCCGGATCTATTGACTCCATCTCTGGATCATCCACTGCTCCTTCCATCGTCTTCCCTTCTACTGACAAACCTACAAGGTAGCATTTGGGATTTTGGCGGCTCACATTCCGGCTTCAGGGCATGGCGGTTGATCAGGACCTTTGGTATGTCACGAGGTATCATACTATCCAGAACCAATATCAAATACACTCGGTTATGGGACGTAGATGTAGTTCTCTGTTCCCAGTTGATTCGGATTTTCACTTCAACAACTCTCGGGGAAGCTCATACTTCTTTGGCATTATGTGGCGGTGTCTACACCTTTTCAGCCTTCACAATCGAGCCAATCTCTCTTTGTATACCAAACCTTTCATACCAGTTACCACCACCACATTAGCTGGTTGGGTACGTTGGCTATAATTTTTGACAGTTGCAGGAGAGGAGTCATGGGGGGTGGGGGGATAAAAACTTGCTAACAATTTAATTGATATGCTTTCTTGAAGAAGTGAGTTTTCAATGATTATTTTTGAAAGAGTGGAGACTGGGTGAAAGTCTTACAGAGAAGGGAAGGGAGTTCCATGGAAGAGGTGCAGCCCTGGTAATAATGACAGGAGGCGAGTATTTTTCCCTCCCTTGGTTTCGCTTTGAAAGCTATTTTACTTTAGTCTGGTTTTGTCTTGTTATTAGTTTTATCCAGTTAGTGCTGTTCATACTGATGGTGTGATTCTAGATACGCTGACTTGTCTTGTGGTAGTACAGGATTGTTGAGTTGTCCACTACGGACTATTGCCATATAGTACATCTCGTATACAATATACTAATTTGATATGTTGAATTATAATATCCTAATATTGAATTACATATTGATCGTCTATGTTATGTGAACATCCGTTTATTACCACTGCCTTTCACTTGTTTCTGTGTCAGTGTGGCCTTATCTATGGTCTCGAGATTGGATGTACTGGAAGTGTCCGTTCTTTAACTCTACCTACTGTTATCAAGTTTCTTCAAAGTTATTGTTATATTGCCTGACTGTGTACTAGACTGTCAATTCACATCAAAGAAAGAGGAAGAGCTATGCCTGTAAGAGCTTTATATGGAATGTGCTACTTGTTTCTGATTGGTTTAAGTTTAATGATTGACTAGTGCTGCTGGAGGCACAAGTAAAGAAAGTTATGCAAAATACTCGCCTCCTGTCATTATTAAAATGAAGATTATAGGTACACTACGTCAGCATAATCTACAATTAACTTCCTATTTATTATTGTAAGAACATTTTTTACATTTTTTGAATAGTTTACATTCTAGTAATACTGCATTTATAAAATAACACATTTTGAAAACAATCTTATAACCAGTAAAATAGCAGTAAAACAAAACGCAGGAAAAATGCAACACTTCTAATCTCTTTAATATTCAATACCAATTTAAAAAAAACAACAGTTATGTGAAGCAAATGAACACAGTCAACGTATCTTAGAACAAAATGGAAATTTGAAATTAGATTCACATAGCAGTTCATTTATGGCATAAATCTAATTATGTAAATGTTCCCACTTTTCATTTTCCAAGTATTTGTTTATTGTAATTTACAGAAAAGTTTTAAACATTAAAGTTTAAAAGTTTTAAACATGCGGAATCCCATATCGTGTAAAACAATGTATGTAAATATATCAAATGTGCTGTTTTAACCCTTACAGCCCGTAACAATTATTTTGGTTCCACTATAAGAAAAGTCGAGTTTAGGAACGCGGTGCCTTTTCTTCATGTTTAGTTCTCTTCTCTCAGGTTTTTAATGAACACTCTAATAAAATATACAGAAGTTGCCAAACCCGGGGTACATTGCTGTTGTGGCAGGCTTGTGCAATGTATGACCAAATACTGTTACGAAATCACCATTATTTTTACCTGCATCAGTTCTTTTTTGTTTGTTTTTTAAAACTGTTACATCTTATGAGCTTTGGAGCTGGTGTTTAGTAAGTGAGTGTGCTGGATCTCGTGTGCTGTATTAATTGGCCCCAGCACAGCACCATATTTAATGTATGCATATTTTTCTATTTTATTTACTAAATCACCATTACAAAATTTTTCTATTTTTCTTTTTTTCTATTTTATTTACTAAATCACCATTATTTTTACCTGCATCAGTTCTTTTTTGTTTGTTTTTTAAAACTGTTACATCTTATGAGCTTTGGAGCTGGTGTTTAGTGAGTGAGTGTGCTGGATCTCGTGTGCTGTATTAATTGGCCCCAGCACAGCACCATATTTAATGTATGCATATTTTTCTATTTTATTTTAATTTTATTTCATTTTTTTTATGACTTTATAATACTGCCCCCACCTTTAAAATATATATATTAAAGACACCATAAATCCTCAGGACAGTCTCCTTGTCTAAGCCCAATCCACCTCCTGTGATGTCATCACAATAATGACTTTTTACATACTTATCATAGAAGCATTGGGCACCCACCCCACATTTGGAGTCCGGCATTGTTTTCCGATTGCAGGTAAAATGTATTTATTTTAGACCGAAGCGGTTGGTACAGTAGCAAGGCTGCCCCAAACTTACTCCAGTAGCACAACTTCTATATAGTACCTTTATTCTATAGATTAACAATAATACAGGCCTCTATAAGAAAGGCAGAATATAGTAACAAAGTAAATTATAAATCATTAATGGAACAATCCAACATTAAAAAATGATACTTCCTTTAAATGCGTGGTGTGTTCCTTAACACATTCAGCTGCAAGTTGCCCCCTTCTTCCCATTAACAATAAAAAAATAAAGATGACTTATTCGGGAACGCATCCTGGCTGCCAGATTGAACCTAAACCAATTACTAAAATGCAAATCTCTCTTGAAATAGTCACTTTAATGAATTGGGACAAAAGGGACCACCTAACCAGACATAGAATTATATAAAATGTACCAAACGACTGGCAAAACCATCAAATCTGTAAGTAATTATTAGGGGGTTATATATACCGGATTGGGGGATTAGGGGTCTTCAAGAATTTGCAAAAAGAAAAGAGTTTGGTCACTTAACAATAAATATTGGGACATGAGAGAAGCATTATGATTTCAGATGATATTCTCTAATGATGAGAAGCTGTGAGCAGGTAAAGCTTTTAGTTGTGAAGGCTGCACTATGATTTTACAGTGTGCATTGTTCTTGCTTTCATCCTTCTGTTACGTCCATTTGATGAAGCTCTGGACACTTGTAGTCACAAGACGCAGTCAAGGATTAGCTGCGCGCACTTCTCATATCATTATAGATGTCAAGTCTCTGCCCACGAAGTTCCTAAAACAAAATACAAAGAAAAATAAAATCATCCTAGTACTTAGTGTTAGACAATGGGTCTGGGGGTAATTAGCAACTAAATAGGTGTACGGAGTGGGCGTATGATGTGGAGGTAAATGGCACTTCCCACATCAGACAATTTGGGGTTCTTACATCCATGGCAGACAGAGATCATATTAGCATGTTATATGTTAATGTGAGATTCGTCAGAAATGTCTTTCTCCATTTACTGGTCCTGGAATAGTGAGTGACAGGGTGTGGGGGCCCTGTGTATCTGGAATACAGGGTATGTGGGCCCCTGGCTGTCCTGGAAAAGTGATAAACAGGGTGTGTGGGTTCCTGCGTGTCTTGGAATAGTGAGTGACAGGGTGTGTGGGTTCCTGCGTGTCCTGGAATAGTGAGTGACAGGGTGTGTGGGTCCCTGTGTGTCCTGGAATAGTGAATGACAGGGTGTGGGGGTCCCTGTGTATCTGGAATAGTGAATGACAGGGTGTGGGGGTCCCTGTGTATCTGGAATAGTGAATGACAGGGTGTGGGGGTCCCTGCGTGTCCTGGAATAGTGAGTGACAGGGTGTGTGGGTTCCTGCGTGTCCTGGAATAGTGAGTGACAGGGTGTGTGGGCCCCTGTGTGTCTGGAATAGTGAATGACAGGGTGTGGGGGTTCCTGTGTGTCCTGGAATAGTCAGTGACAGGGTGTGTGGGTTCCTGCGTGTCCTGGAATAGTGAGTGACAGGGTGTGTGGGTTCCTGCGTGTCCTGGAATAGTGAATGACAGGGTGTGAGGGTCCCTGCGTGTCCTGGAATAGTGAATGACAGGGTGTGGGTGTCACTGTGTATCTGGAATAGTGAATGACAGGGTATGTGGGCCCCTGGCTGTCCTGGAATAGTGATAAACAGGGTGTGTGGGTTCCTGCGTGTCCTGGAATAGTGAGTGACAGGGTGTGTGGGTTCCTGTGTGTTCTGGAATAGTGAATGACAGGGTGTGAGGGTCTCTGCGTGTCCTGGAATAGTGAGTGACAGGGTGTGTGGGTTCCTGCGTGTCCTGGAATAGTGAATGACAGGGTGTGAGGGTCCCTGCATGTCCCGGAATAGTGAATGACAGGGTGTGGGGGTCACTGTGTATCTGGAATACAGGGTATGTGGGCCCCTGGCTGTCCTGGAATAGTGATAAACAGGGTGTGTGGGTCCCTGTGTGTCCTGGAATAGTGAATGACAGGGTGTGAGGGTCCCTGCGTGTCCTGGAATAGTGAATGACAGGGTGTGAGGGTCCCTGCGTGTCCTGGAATAGTGAATGACAGGGTGTGGGGGTCACTGTGTATCTTGAATACAGGGTATGTGGGCCCCTGGCTGTCCTGGAATAGTGATAAACAGGGTGTGTGGGTCCCTGGCTGTCCTGGAATAGTCAGTGACAGGGTGTGTGGGTTCCTGTGTGTCCTGGAATAGTGAGTGACAGGGTGTGAGGGTCCCTGCGTGTCCTGGAATAGTGAGTGACAGGGTGTGGGGGTTACTGCGTGTCCTGGAATAGTGAATGACAGGGTGTGGGGGTCCCTGGCTGTCCTGGAATAGTGAGTGACAGGGTGTGTGGGTCCCTGTGTGTCCTGGAATAGTGAATGACAGGGTGTGAGGGTCCCTGCGTGTCCTGGAATAGTGAGTGACAGGGTGTGTGGGTTCCTGCGTGTCCTGGAATAGTGAGTGACAGGGTGTGTGGGTCCCTGTGTGTCCTGGAATAGTGAGTGACAGGGTGTGTGGGTTCCTGCGTGTCCTGGAATAGTGAATGACAGGGTGTGAGGGTTCCTGCGTGTCCTGGAATAGTGAGTGACAGGGTGTGTGGGTTCCTGCGTGTCCTGGAATAGTGAATGACAGGGTGTGAGGGTCCCTGCGTGTCCTGGAATAGTGAATGACAGGGTGTGGGGGTCACTGTGTATCTGGAATACAGGGTATGTGGGCCCCTGGCTGTCCTGTAATAGTGATAAACAGGGTGTGTGGGTCCCTGGCTGTCCTGGAATAGTCAGTGACAGGGTGTGTGGGTTCCTGCGTGTCCTGGAATAGTGAGTGACAGGGTGTGTGGGTCCCTGTGTGTCCTGGAATAGTGAGTGACAGGGTGTGAGGGTCCCTGCGTGTCCTGGAATAGTGAGTGACAGGGTGTGTGGGTTCCTGCGTGTCCTGGAATAGTGAATGACAGGGTGTGGGGGTCACTGTGTATCTGGAATGCAGGGTATTTGGGCCCCTGGCTGTCCTGGAATAGTGATAAACAGGGTGTGTGGGTCCCTGGCTGTCCTGGAATAGTCAGTGACAGGGTGTGTGGGTTCCTGCGTGTCCTGGAATAGTGAATGACAGGGTGTGAGGGTCCCTGCGTGTCCTGGAATAGTGAGTGACAGGGTGTGGGGGTTCCTGCGTGTCCTGGAATAGTGAATGACAGGGTGTGTGGGTCCCTGGCTGTCCTGGAATAGTCAGTGACAGAGTGTGGGGGTCCCTGGCTGTCCTGGAATAGTCAGTGACAGGGTGTGTGGGTCCCTGCGTGTCCTGGAATAGTGAGTGACAGAGTGTGTGGGTCCCTGCATTTCCTGAAATAGTGAGTGACCGGGTGTGGGGGGCCCTGCGTGTCTTGGAATAGTGAGTGACAGGGTGTGGGGGGCCCTGCGTGTCCTGAGATAGTGAGTGACAGGGTGTGTGGGTCCCTGCGTGTCCTGAAATAGTGAGTGACAGGGTGTGTGGGTTCCTGCGTGTCCTGGAATAGTCAGTGACAGGGTGTGTGGGTCCCTGCGTGTCCTGGAATAGTGAGTGACAGGGTGTGTGGGTCCCTGCGTGTCCTGAAATAGTGAGTGACCGGGTGTGGGGGGCCCTGCGTGTCCTGGAATAGTGAGTGACAGGGTGTGGGGGCCCCTGTGTGTCCTGAGATAGTGAGTGACAGGATGTGTGGGTCCCTGTGTGTCCTGGAATAGTGAGTAACAGGCTGTGGGGGTCCCTGCGTGTCCTGAAATAGTGAATGACAGGGTGTGGGGGTCACTATGTATCTGGAATACAGGGTATGTGGGCCCCTGGCTGTCCTGGAATAGTGATTAACAGGGTGTGTGGGTTCCTGCGAGTCCTGGAATAGTGAGTGACAGGGTGTGTGGGTTCCTGCGTGTCCTGGAATAGTGAATGACAGGGTGTGGGGGTCCCTGCGTGTCCTGGAATAGTGAGTGACAGGGTGTGGGGGTTACTGCGTGTCCTGGAATAGTGAATGACAGGGTGTGGGGGTCCCTGGCTGTCCTGGAATAGTCAGTGACAGGGTGTGTGGGTCCCTGCGTGTCCTGCAATAGTGAGTGAAAGGGTGTGTGGGTCCTTGCGTGTCCTGAAATAGTGAGTGACAGGGTGTGGGGGGGCCATGCGTGTCCTGAGATAGTGAGTGACAGGGTGTGTGGGTCCCTGTGTGTTCTGGAATAGTGGGTAACAGGCTGTAGGGGTCCCTGTGTGTCCTGAAATAGTGAATGACAGGTTGTGGTGGTCCCTGTGTGTCCTGGAATAGTGAGTGACAGGGTGTGTGGGTCCCTGTGTGTCCTGGAATAGTGAGTGACAGGGTGTGTGGGTTCCTGCGTGTCCTGGAATAGTGAGTGACAGGGTGTGTGGGTTCCTGCGTGTCCTGGAATAGTGAGTGACAGGGTGTGTGGGTTCCTGCGTGTCCTGGAATAGTGAATGACAGGGTGTGGGGGGCCCTGCGTGTCCTGAGATAGTGAGTGACAGGGTGTGTGGGTCCCTGTGTGCCCTGGAATAGTGAGTAACAGGCTGTGGGGGTCCCTGCGTGTCCTGAAATAGTGAATGACAGGGTGTGGGGGTCCCTGTGTGTCCTGGAATCGTGAGTGACAGGGTGTGTGAGTCCCTGTGTGTCCTGGAATAGTGAGTGACAGGCTGTGGGGGTTCCTGCGTGTCCTGGAATAGTGAGTGACAGTATATGGGGGTTCCTGTGTGTCCTAGAATAGTAAGTGACAGAATGTGGGGTTCCTGTGTGTCCTGGACTCGTGGGAGACAGGATTCTCGGGCCCAGCATGACCTTGAACAGCAGGTGAAGGACAGAATCTTTGTATTTGTAGCAGAAGAAATGCTGTTTGGCAACAGATACATTTGTTGCATTTGTTAGGGAAGTGGAGGGCGCAAGGTTTCTTCTGCAAAATGTTTCAATCTTGGAAAGGACAATAATGGGGCGTTTTTGATAAATTTCCTTTTAACTCTTCACATACAGGAGTCACGAGATGTACGTAATACACAGTGCACATGCAGATACACTTTGCGAGGGAGGGATTTGACTAATAAAGAGATCTGCGCCAGATAAAATACTGATAGAAAACACGTTGCTTTATATTGTGTAGCTGAAACACATGAGGGATATATCAATTAGTATGAACATAATTATAGTACCGGTAATTAGTTTTCAGTTAACATATGGCTCAAAGTACATATCCGACTGACACCAAATACTAGTGACGAAATTACACAAATCTTATTAGTTATTTACAAAAGTGACAATTCAAAGTAGATGAACATGAAACATAGCTAACATGCTTTGACCAGTTGAAATTCACTTTAAATTCTCACTTTAGGTAAATCACCCCGTGACTGTGTGACCACCAAAAAACCCACCTCGTATGTTCGGTCATTTGTCTCTGTTTCATTTTTCTTAGAAGTCTTCCGTTCTGGAAAATAAAATGTGATAAAACATTGTTTAATATCTGCTCTTATCTCATTGCTGTTCCCAAACAGACAACTTTTATCAACCTCGAGCCGTATTTATCAAACCAGAAACAATTGCTATTCTGGGAGCAAAGTGAAACGTAAGGGAAGTTACCATGGAAACCAGTTAAATTCCCATTGGGAATAATCTTGGCCCTTGATTTACAAAAAAAGAAAATTAGGAACTAGTCAGTTCCTGTCGAGGACGGCTGTAAATGCTGGCCTCTTCTGAAATATTATTAAACATTTAATAAGAGATATAATTAAACATGTAATAAGAGATATTATTAAACATGTAGTAAGAAGGATTGAGCCTCGCAGTGTCAGTAATACTAATAAAAAGTAGAAAATAATAATTTATCTTTAGTGATAAGTACTACAAAATAAACAGAAACAAAGTCATAACCCCACGCATTTTGTGTCGCTCAGCATCATAAGTACAAAACACAATGCTAGTATAGTTTAATCAATCCATATTTTAAATAAAATTTGCTCTCACTCACCCAGCTGTTTGCGCTGTTGGATTTTATTTGAAACAATATACGCAGTGAGCGCAATCAGTACCGTGATAATGACATCACAGATGACAATTCCAATAACCGCACCAGAGTCCAGCCGTAAGCAGTCACCACATCCTGAGGAAGAGGACACAAACTCTAATTTAGAAACACATACCTGTGTTACTGCGTGGGGTGGAGGGTCCTTCCAAGTAACAGATAAAAATGGTCCAGTAAAGAGGGAGAACCTTTAATAAGATGTTACATAGTAACATTGAGTAGTCTGTCGTTGGGGTAAAATGTCTGTAAATGAGTGTAGGTAAGTGTTCATGCTTACTGCCAGGTGATTAGGTCATAGTTTACTTAAACAGTCATTGCTCTGCTTTACATCTGTATCTCCTGATCTTTTATGTATTTATTCCCAGGCCATTTGTTGGCAAAAAAACACAACATTTATTAATATCAACGAATGAGCTAATGGATCAGCAAGGGGACATTCATCTACCAAGGTTGTAAGTGCATCTGAGAACTGGATAAATAGATATCATTGTGTTCGGGCAGGTAATAGCCGAGGAGATAAGGATGGGAGGTAGCCGGCTCCTACCATGTAATCCAAAATAAAGGATAGAGGAACAGCAGCTCTAAGAGTAAACAGGGAAGAGAGGAATCCTAACATAAGGGTAACATAGTCTCCATCAAAGGGCCCTAGAAAAAATGAGCTAAAAATCCTATTAAGGAAAGCCTAGTGGTATATATCTAGATGAATAGGGACAAGGGGCATAGCATAAAAAATATTCCCTACTGGTCTAGGGGTAAAAATCAGCACATACACTTCTTGTCCCTATTTACCTTGGCACCGCACAAGGCTAGTGCCTACCTGCACCAAAAATCCCTCAAAGATAATTTCACTCAAATGTGCATAGTGCTACCAAAATGTGAAACAAAGGTGAAATAAATAAAACAAAAAATGAACCCCAACGTACGTTTCGGCGTGTTAATACACCGTTGTCAGGATTATTATGTTTTTTTTTTGTTTTGTTTTTAATTCTTTATTTTTGTAGTGTGTAAGGTTGTAACAGGCGCTTGTGAGGTACCCCAAAGGCAATCCTCTAGCGCAATTCAAACAGTATAGCATAGAGGTACATGTTAAATCTAGCACTTTTTTTTATACATATATATGATTATATCGATTACAAAACAGTGTGTATTTTCATTACTTGGTCTCTTTCAAAGCATGAGACAACTTCATTGGCAATGGGAGTAACAATCAGTCTAGGACGAGGTTGTATGCAACTGGGATAGACAGGGTTAAACACTCCCTTCCTAGAGTCTGGCTACACATGGTTATTCAGTGAGTGTAGTATTAAGTGCGCTAAACTAGGTAACAGTAGATTAAAAGTAAGGTAGGTCTCAAGTTGGAGCAGGCTAGTTCCTCCTGTCTAGGCTGGATTATATATTTACATTAACTCGGGGAGGCTAGCTAGGCATGGTGATTGAATACATTAAAGTACATTAGAATATCGCTAGCTTATGTGAAGCAGGCTAGCGTTGAAAGGCACCTGCCTAAGTAGCACATTAGGGTAGCAGAAAACCAATGTTAAGTCCATATTAAACTATATGCTTTGCTTGGCAGGGCAAGGTATAAGGAGGATTTCGCTTGAGCTTGCGCTCCCAACTCACGGCTCGCCAGCATCGTATGCGGTGTTATAATGAGAGAGGGGTCTGTGGGGCAGTGTAGCCCGGTGTTCTGTGAGTCCATATTGTTGCTCCGGCATCCCCTCCGGTACGTGGAAGAGGTGTCCGGGCCTCAGCTTGTAGGGTTGTCCAAGGTCAGCCGATGCCTGCTCTGCTGAGCCGTTGGTGAATTCTCTGCTGGGTTCGCCTGACAGCAAGCAATCTCGCTATGTCCTGGTCGGCGTTCTGGTAAGGTTTTTAAATAGCCCGTGGCATGGGGATTCCCTGCCTGTCGCAGGTTGCTGGGGCCATTGGGTGGTAGACCGGTCGGGCACCCCGGCGGGAGTTACTCTGGAGCATGGGGTCCTGAATGCTGGAGTCCGGTGTGCTCGTTGCCCCCTCCGGCCCATTTGAGTTTTGGCTTCGTTTCCGTTGGGAGGCCGCCTTGGCGTCTCGTGGGGGGTTCCCCCATATGCGGCGCTGGGTAGTCGGGCGGATCCACGCCGCCATCTCTCTTATCCCTCGCTTGTAGAGCTGTTTGCGGGCACTGTGCCTCCTCCATAGGTGGGTGCATAATTGATGGAAGAACTCCAGGGTGTCCCTGGGTGGCTTAATAATTTTATGCTTGGCCTTGGGTTGCGTCCGCGCCACCATCACAGTGAGGCCTAATCGGTCTCGCTTAGTTGAGGGTGGTGTCGCTTGGTCAGACAGCGGTATGGGGGTAATCGTCCCCTGCGAGGACCGGGATGTCCTCCCGCCGGTCCAAAGGGGGGGTAGCAGGGCTGAGGTAAGCTTTTGTTTGTAAAAGCGTTCCCGTGCCAGGGGATCGGCCGCCTCCCCTGGGCCTCAGGTTCCACTCCTGTTTAGGCTGCATGGCTGGTGTAGGCTTTTCGGCAGGCCGCTGGTGCTGGACAGGTATCATTTTGTTTGTGTGGTTGTGCTGTGACTATTCTCGGTCACCATGGGCCGCTTGGGTTTTTGAGTCGATCGGTGTCAGCGTTTTTATGCCCTGTGTTGCGAGAGCTCTTGAAGTGTGCGACCGGCCATCTTGGCTGTCAGGCCCCGCCCCCATTATGTTTTTTTTTTATAATTGATTATGTCATTAAATGTCAAAGTGTTAATTTTAGTGTTCTATTTTAACAATTTTTAATAGTTCTGTAAAGCACAATTTAGGGAATAAACGCGAAGGAGAACCACTTCTTGATTTTTAATCTCCATGAATCATGTGTGACTCATCAAACCATATATTTCCTGTCCATGTGTTGCAGTCATAGCCTGACACGCATGGTTTATTGTGTTGTGCATTCGTTACAGTGTAACAAGGAAAGACGGAGAGGATACTTATTATAGCCATGTACTGGGTCCTGGTTTAATCTCCGGAGATGTCAGCATGCAGTGTTTACTGAAGAACATGGAAAGCTGCTTTACTAGATAATATCTTCTAAAAAGATTCCAGTTTTTGGAAAAAATTAAATTAGAAAGAGCAATGCCCTCACTCCCCACCCCACGGTGAGTCATTAGGTAAGTAGCAGTTTTAGTGTATAGATCATTCCCTTGCAGTCTCACTGCTCAATTCTCTGTCATTTAGGAGTTAAATCACTTTGTTTCTGTTTATGCAGCCCTAGCCACACCTCCCCTGACTCTGACTGACACAGCCTGCATGAAAACAAAATGGTTTAGTTTTCAATCAGATGTAACTTACTTCAAAACTTTTTTATCTCCTGCTCTGTAATTTGAACTTTAATTACACACAGGAGGCTCTTGAAGGGTCTAGAAGGCTATTAACAGAGCAGGAGATAAGGAATTCTAAATGAAACAAACTCTGCAATAAACAAAAGTACAAACCTGTACTTCAGCCCCTTACCTCAATACTACAGCCATTTAGTAACAACAGCCCCTAACCCCCTACTACAGCTCCTCACTCCCTACTAGTCACTAACCCCGTAACTGCAGCCCCTATGTTCAGAACTTGGACTTGTCATGTCTCAGGCGCCTTCCCGTTGCCAACATATGAGTATTAATTCTGCGCATAATTGTGGCAACAATTTTGATGCTATGCCTATTGGCTCTCCACTTAAACACCCTGATGCCTAGGTGCTCCTTGACCTTGCCGTGTTACAGAGATTTAGGGAGTACGGAGATACAGTAACATGGCAAGGTCAGGAACTAGGGAGATACTGATAAACAGTAACAGATATGGATAAACAGTAACACGGCAAGGTCAGGGAGTACAGATATACTGATAAACAGTAACAGATATGGATAAACAGTAACACGGCAAGGTCAGGGAGTACAGAGATACTGATAAACAGTAACAGATATGGATAAACAGTAACACGGCAAGGTCAGGGAGTACAGAGATACTGATAAACAGTAACACGGCAAGGTCAGGGAATACAAAGATACTGATAAACAGTAACACGGCAAGGTCAGGGAGTACAGAGATACTGATAAACAGTAACAGGGCAAGGTCAGTGTAGCGGAGAGGCAGTATAATCCACGATATCTCCGCTGGGTAACAGGAACAACAAAGGATAATCCAGGGGAATCAGCATACAATAATCCAAACAGCACTGCAGTAACCCTTCCTTCCCAAGAACTAGACGACACATAGGCTGGGAGTCAACTGAGGTCTTTTAATTCAGCTCCACAATTTATACAAGTCCCCATGCAAGGGGTTTCCTGAGTCCCCTCCCAGGGGCATTCCCAGAGGGGACTACATGGGGGACTTATTGTACAGGACATTTCTCCCATCAGGCACTGCTGCACGAGAGGGATCCTCCCACAGGAATGTACCGTTAAGTGGATTATCCCTCCGTGCAGCAGAACTTACAATTCGCATTAAATTACATAACTTTATGAATATCTGGTCCATTTAAACGAATGGACGTTCGGTAGATAGCTGGGGTCTGAGCGCATCATTCGTGAGATTACCGCTCAGATCCCAGCTAAAACAACCGAACGCCGCACGAAAAACACATTCATTAAAACATAGCTTCAAAACACTGATTGTATATAAGGGAACAGAATACCGAACGTCCCGGACCTCCCGAACGGCCTGGAAGCTCAGCGGTGTTCGTGCCGTCGAGTAGCCGTTTTTAGTACCATGCGCTCGATGACCAAACACTGCTGAGGGAACAAAGGATCCAAGATGGCCGACCGCCGCATGGTCAGTAGTCGAACGACGGCCACCTTGGAGAGCCTCTAATTACCGATTGCAACATTGTTGCAATCGGTTAATAGGCGCCACACGCCTCTAAGTGTGTGGGCTATTAACTGATGGTTTGTTCGGTTCCTGAACGTCCCGCAAAGGTGCCGTTCGTGAAACGAAAGAGAATCTGCTATCTGCAGATAGCCCAGGCAGGAAATACAGCATTACCATTACATTACATTACACGTTGGAACACATAACATGAGCAACCCTTAAAGAGACAGTATATAAATAATGTCCAAGTGGCTAGGTTTGCCACAGTCAGTGAGTACAGAGATACTGATAAACAGTAACAGGGCAAGGTCAGGGAGTACAGAGATACTGATAAACAGTAACAGGGCAAGGTCAGGGAGTGCAGAGCTATGGATAAACAGTAACAGGGCAAGGTCAGGGAGTACAGAGATACTGATAAACAGTAACAGGGCAAGGTCAGGGAGTACAGAGATACTGATAAACAGTAACAGGGCAAGGTCAGGGAGTACAGAGCTATGGATAAACAGTAACAGGGCAAGGTCAGGGAGTACAGAGATACTGATAAACAGTAACAGGGCAAGGTCAGGGAGTACAGAGATACTGATAAACAGTAACAGGGCAAGGTCAGGGAGTACAGAGATACTGATAAACAGTAACAGGGCAAGGTCAGGGAGTACAGAGATACTGATAAACAGTAACAGGGCAAGGTCAGGGAGTACAGAGCTATGGATAAACAGTAACAGGGCAAGGTCAGGGAGTACAGAGATACTGATAAACAGTAACAGGGCAAGGTCAGGGAGTACAGAACTATAGATAAACAGTAACAGGGCAAGGTCAGGGAGTACAGAGATACTGATAAACAGTAACAGGGCAAGGTCAGGGAGTGCAGAGATACTGATAAACAGTAAAAGGGCAAGGTCAGGGAGTACAGAGCTATAGATAAACAGTAACAGGGCAAGGTCAGGGAGCACAGAGATACTGACCTTGCCGTGGTACTATTTATCTTTATCTCTGTACTCCCTGACCTTGCCCTGTTACTGTTTATGCTTTAGTCTGTTTTTTTGGGTTTTTTTTAAACTGTGTTCTAGACTATCCCACATTTCTCCTGTCCACTCTAAGGACTAGTAATATGTTTACTCTTGTTAGGATGAGACACTCTGTGCATTAGTTTTTTTTGTTGGAGTACACCTCTTGTGACATGAGCCTTAAATCTTATAGCTGCCATTTGTCCCTTTCCAGACATCATATATATTTGTATGTGAACAATGTGTATCATTTCTGCCACATTATTCCTAGCAACAGGAAGGGACAATGTCAGGATGCCATGCTCCACAAGATTCCCACCAACAGGAAAGGACAATGTCAGGATGCCATGCTCCACAAGGTTCCTACCAAATGAAGGAACAATGCCAGGATGACATGCTCCACAAGTTTCCAAAAAATAGGAAGAGATAATGCCAGGATGCCATGCTCCTCAAGGTTCCCACCAACAGGAAAGGAAAATGTCAGGATGCCATGCTCCACGAGTTCCCAAAAAACAGGATGGAACAATGTCAGGATGCAATGCTCCACAAGGTTCCCATTAACAGGAAGGGACAATGTCAGTGTGGCGGACTGCCTGGCACCCTGACTGGGTACCTCCACCAATCGCTGCTTCCTAGTATCACTGAGTACTATAAGCACCGCACCAGACACCATAAGCACCGTAATCCCCTTAGCCGCCACACCATTCCCAGGCATAGTAATTTAAAGAGCAGTATAGCAAGTGATTATAGCACGTATAGCTTTCCCCCACAGATATTAGTCGAAACTAAATGCTGGGAGTGAATTGTTTTATTGGAGGCCACACACAGCCTTTAATGCAAAAGCCCCTGCAAGGGGTTTCCAATACAACAATACAGGGAAATCCCTCCCATAATCCTTTGTGCCTGAAAGATAATGATCTGAGAAGCAAACATACAATTAAATTATCTCTGAGGTACAAAAAACATACAATTTATAAACATCCCTAAAGTACCCCAAAATTCATAGAACCCACACAAATTACATTCTCGGATTGTCCCGATCTGGGTAACCAACATATCCAAAAATAACCCGGATCGGTTCAGTGGTTCGTTTTTTCCATGAAAGTCAATTATTTGACCGACCGCACACATGGTCCTATGGGCAAAACAGTTCCATGAAATCAGTGCTAACGGTCGGTCTCTTTTGGGAGTATAAAAGTGCATAAAATACTGAACTGAATACATAGATAACATGTGCAGCTTGTTGACCTTGTTCGTGGTAACGATTCCACCGAACATACACCATAGGCGATCATGGAAGTCCAGCGGCGTTCGGGAGTTTCAGTGTCCGATGAACTCGACGACCAAACCCCACTGCCTGCCTTCATGTGAACAAGATGGCCATCACCTTGTGGTCGTTCATATGAATTGTGGCCACCCAGACGAACAATTAGAACACTGCGGTGGAACTAGTTAGAAGGTGTCAATTGGGTTTAACAAGTCTCTGGTTAAACCCAACTCTGGTTTGTGCGGTTGTTGGGTTCCCAAACAATATAATCCCAAATCACACGAATAGGGTAAAGTGTATTTCGCAGGGCCCATAGTCCTGAGGCAGGAGGCTGGCAAGCAGGCTCCTCCAGGAGTCCGTGGCGAGGTAATGTTAGCCACAGTCAGGATGCAATGCTCCACAAGGTTCCCACCAACCGGAAGGGACAATGTCAGGATGCCATGCTCCACAAGATTTCCATCAACAGGAAGGAAGGAATGAACAATGTCAGGATGGCTTCACAAACATTTCAATTTGAGAACAGTTAAAAACTAATTTCACTACAAGCTGAGTACAAAGTAACACAGTAAGTAACACAAACTGAACAGCAGCCTTGTAGAAGAAACACAAGAACAGAGTCTTTATAGTCATTTTATGTCAACTTTACAATGTTCTAAATCTGAGTAGGCATGCAAGTGTAAATAGGGCTTGCCTAGGGCTCGCCTGTTTCCCTCTGGGTTCCTATAGTTCTCTTTAATATGCTTGCCCTGCTCTACAACAATCAATGGCTGATTATGGGTCATTTTCACTAGTCAAACCAAAAAAAAGTGCCATCACTAAAGATTAATAACTCAATAATATTTATACATAAAGTGATCAATCTCACCATCTTGTCCAAAGGCAGCTCCTAAAAAAGAAACACAAATGTTGTTTAATTTAAATGTTTTGATTACAGTGGAGAAAGTAAAACCTAAACATTTGGAAATATATATTTTAGAGTGTGTATCGAATGCGAGCACACACACTGACACACAAAATCATACACACAATCACACAAATTCACACATACACACACACACAATCACACAAACTCATACACACACACAATCACACAAACTAATACACACACACACAATCACACAAACCCATACACACACTCACACAATCACACACACACACACACACACAATCACACAAATTCACACATACACACACACAATCACACACACACAATCACACACACACACACAATCACACAAACTCATACACACACTCACACACACAATCACACAAACTCTCTCTCTCACACACACACACACACACACACACACACACAATCACACAAACTCATACACACACACACAATCACACAAACTAATACACACACACACACAATCACACAAACCCATACACACACTCACACACACACAAACACACACAATCACACACACACAATCACACAAACTCATACACACACTCACACAATCACACAAACTCTCTCTCACACACACACACACAATCACACAAACACACACACACAACCTCTCTCTCTCTCTCACACACACACACACACACACACAATCACACAAACTCATACACACACACACATAATCACACAAACTCTCTCTCACACATACATACACACAATCACACAAATTAATACACACACACACAATCACACAAACTCATACACACACTCACACAATCACACACACACACAATCACACAAACTCATACACACACACAATCACACAAACTCATACACACACTCACACACACACACACAATCACACAAACTCTCTCTCTCACACACACACACACACACACACAATCACACAAACTCACACACACAATCATACACACACATACACAAACTCTCTCTCTCTCTCACCCACACAATCACACAATAACACAATCACACAAACTCATACATACATACACACAATCACACAAACTCACACACACAATCATATACAATCACACACACTCACACAATCATACACACTTAAACACACAGTCATACACACAATCACACACACACAATCACACAAAGTTTAAACAAACAAAATTAGTAATTAAAGTATGTGCAATAATTAAAATATATAGAAAGGCAACATTAAAGAAGCTGCAGTTCTGGATAAACTATACAAACTAAGGTCCACTTTAAATTTCTAGCTAGTTGGCAGGAAGTAGAAAAATACCCATGAGTTCTGACACAGAGAGGCCGGAAGTTTGTGGTCAGTTGACCTAGTATTACAAGGTGGAGAGACTTGTACATAAAGTGAGGCAGAAACCAGGCTAACGTGTAATCGCCAACCAAAATAAAGTGATTTTTGGCTGAAACAAAGAGTGTAGCTTTATCACACACTTGACGTTAATGTAACCAACATATAAATCACGAATACATTACAGCAGGAGCTGTAATAGTAGGAACATTACGAGATAATTTCCCAAATACCTCCAAAGAGAAAATATACATCACCAGTAAAAACATTTTAAAAAATCTCAAAATACAGAAACAAAGGAAATGTCCAAATAAATATATAATTATCTTCATTAAGAGCAAACAAAGGAGTGATCTTTCCACTGTATCCATTATTCTTAGGCTCCCAAAATGGAGAAACGACTATGGGGTGCGTGTCTAATACTTCACGAGAGGACATTTTGTTACCTCAGTCTTAGTGAGATAACTTTGTCTGGTTAGATGGTGTGAGGTACATGGTGTTTAGTTAAGCTTCAGTTAGTGGTTCAAGTTACAGAATGGGGTTAGAGGATACGGGAGGGTTAGAGTGTGGGCGTTGGGTTAAAGATCCAAGATATTAGGAATGTATAATATGTCTAACATACCAAATAACTCCCATAGCCATCTGAAAATGCAAACCAGTCTAGAGCCCCCAGTACCAAAGTATCTCTACCAAAAAGATGTGATGTGGATTAATTAAGCCATTTAACTGTGCAGGTAATCGGACTCATCAGATTGTGTCCATTTAGTTTGTATAATGTCTTTATACAGAAATACCAGAGCTGTGTCACTGTCGTATCGTTTTATTATTCTAATTTTCTTGAATAATTTCGATCACTGTCTTTGAAAAGGTCCAAACATTTATCTACAGATTTTGCAAAGAGAATCATTAGCAAATCTAGAGACTGGATGAAAACCGTTTTATAAACTGTGTCCTTCCCCCGACTCAGTCCTGCGTTTCCCAGCTGGCATCTTGGCATGACTGGGGAGCTGAGTCACAGAACTGCTGCCACATTGACTTTCTCTCACTCACTCTGAGAGACACTCTGAGGGTCATGTGGTCATTAAATTGTTTCTGGGATTTCTTTTTAATAATTTTTTTACTGTTTTTTTATCAGTGAATGCAGACAATACAAAGTACACCATCATATTGCTCTGGAAACAGGACTGTCAGTGGTGCCTCAGTGTAATGTAGTGTTTGTAGCCGTTTCTGTCCTCTATGTCATATTTTATGTGAAATTCATGTTCTTAATTGCAAAATCAGTCAGATGTGTCCTCTTTTTCATTGTCTCTAGAACACAGCCATTGTGAAATTCAAACGGCAGCAGATTTCTGTCATTACTTATTAGGTCTCCATGATTTCATCTTAAGGTCAAGGGATATACTGCGTGTCTGTGAATATGTATAATAAGTGTGACTGCTATGTATGTATACTATGTGAATGTATGTATATTGTGAGTCTGTGAATGTATGCATTATGTGTGTGACTGATATGTATGCATAGTGTCTGTCTGTGAATTTATGTATAGTGTGTGTGACTGATATGTATGTATACTATGTGTCTGTGAATGTATGTATACTGTGTGTCTTTGTACACATGTAAAAAGTTCCCTCATGGGGAGCTAGACAGTGTGTGTGGGGACAACCATAAAGGGGATAACCCTCACAGTATTGTGTAAACTAAAAATCCATTGAGATCAGCTACCCTACTATACCTATACCTACAGTCTAGGCTAACGCATGAGCATATAGTTCCTCTATATCGAGGCTTTCCATCAAACCTGTATATGATAGTTTAAAGAAGACATATAAACACATTCTCTGTTATATTGGCTAATAGTTAACTCAGCAGCTATACAAGAGTCAAGACTACATGTGTCTGTTACGTGATGCAGGTACCATTAGAGCAACCTAACGACATGTTCTGATCCCAATAACAAGAATAACGGTCACAAGTGGTCGCTACGCCCGGCTATTATAGCGGCAACACGATTTAAGCGTGTCTTTATTTTCTACACGTGCCCAGTATAATTTAGGTTCAGTTGGTTTATTTATCTATTTTCGATTTTATAACTCATGATTTATATAATTTTTTAATTGTCTCAATAAAAGGTATATTTTATACATACAGATCCCCTAGGGACTTCCATTTTCGTGCCCTCTGGGGTTTTTCTCCCAGGGGATATTTGCTCATTTGTACGCATGTATAATGAGTGTGACTGATATGTATGTATACTATGTGTATGTGAATATATGTATATTGCGTGTCTGTGAATGTATGTATAGTGTGTGTGACTGATATGTACGTATACTGCGTATCTGTGAATATGTATAATGTGTGTGACTGATATGTATGTATACTATGTGTCTGTGAATGTATGTACCGTATGTGTGATTGATATGTATGTATAGTGTGTGTGACAGATATGTATGTATACTGCGTGTCTGTGAATGTGTGTACCATGTGTGTGATTGATATGTTTGTATACTGTGTGTGTGAATGTATATATCATGTGTGTGGCTGATATGTATGCATAGTGTGTGTCTGTGGATGTAAGTATAGTGTGTGTGAGTGATGTGTATGTATAGTGTGTGTGACTGATACGTATGTATACTGCGTGTGTGAATGTATGTATAATGTGTGTGACTAATATGTATGTATAGTGCGTGTGCTTGGTATGTATGTATACTGTGTGTCTGTGAATGTATGTATTAAGTCTAAGTCTGTGACTAATATGTATGTATACTGTGTGTGACTGCTATGTTTGTACACTGTGTGTCTGTGAATGTATTTATAAGTGTGCGACTAATATCTATGTATACTATGTGTCTGTGAATGTATGTATACTGTGTGTCTTTGTATGCATGTATAATGTGTGTGACTGATATGTATGCATACTGTGTGTATGTTAATATATGTATAATGTGTGTCTGTGAATGTATGTATAATGTCTGTATCTGTTCGATGTTCAGGTGAGCTGTATTTTGGCAGCAGTGTGGGGGTGTATATTCTGCACTGTGAGGGGATAACATGCTGGGGATAGGAGATACTGGGGAGGGGGCTGGCACACAGCAATGGGAACAGACAGCTTAATACATGGAGGGATCCCTCCAACTAGCTGCTGTATGCTGAGGCCTTGTTGGCTTAGTGGCAAATATGATCCTAACTGCAATATTATATTTATTAAATTAAACATATCTAGCAATCCCCCATTAGATTCATCCCATCACACTGAGACTGCTGCAGAAACAGTTATTTTGGGCAATTTCCTGGATTCTGAGCAATATAAAATGCCTGTTGCAACCAGTGGTGTATGTCTTAACTGGGCTAAAGAGGAACTGACTTTATTCTCATACCATCACTTCCTCTATTAGTCACCAAAGGAAGAACATTACTGGGGTGAGGTATCCAGAGATTTACCTTGCACAAAGTGTACTGTCCCATGAGTCCCTGCATGCATTCCCACCGTCATAAACCTCTTGCAGGGAATCATGGGGGACTTTGAATTTACATTGCATGCCAGACTGTGCCTATTATCATAGTATCCAATGCCAATCTAAACTGAATTAAAGTGAGGGCCTTTTTCGTTAACTGTTAGAATATGCCATTACCGTGGTTTTATAAATTATATCCAATTCATTCTGCACAACACAGGTTGCGTTGATCCTGGTCTGGATAAAAACTGCTTAATAACAATAACTACTATCTTAATTTTGCAAACGTTGTTAAAATATATATATATAAAATATTGTGCAAATATGACATAACAAAAGCTTTGAAATGTCACTTCTTTCGATGCTTATTGGGAGCGGACGCTCGTTTAGAGTTGGTAAATATTGTAGTCCCAATGTGCGATCAATCAGCAATATTTACATTTGATTCTAGGATTCCTTCTATAATGTCATTTGAAAGAAATTAAATATGTAGAATATAATGATCGTTTAGGCTATGAAAAATTGTGTGTTCATTGTTTATTAATTGTACTTTAAAGTTCATGCAATAAAGAGTGATTTATGGTAAGTTCACTAATAACTATATTAATGTTAAGAAAAGCAAATTTAGGACAAAACTCCTTAAAATGAAGAATTTTTTTTTTTTGTATCTTCATGTTTTTATTTTGCGAGCTGGCTGTCACAAATCCCTAACATTATCAAACACCGACCATGTGAAAGATCAATATTTCCATCGCACAAATATCTGGTTGGATAACAATGCGGCAGAGAAACACTAACAAACACTAATATGGTGACTTGAGCTTTTTCTCTCAGATCTTAACTGAGATGAAACAAAGCAATACAAATCTTAAGGGAAAATGCAACGATAAATTACTAATAATTTTATAAACATCTGTATAAGTACAAACCCTGTTATACACTGTCGAAGATATAAAGTGTGAATTTGCAATAATAGGTCAAATGGCTGAAATGGAAACTTTGTCCAAGCTATTTTTTTATACTTATATTATACTCTGGATTTGTTTATTTTCATGGCAACATATTACTAACTATTTCCTGAAAGAATGACTTACCTAATGCAGTTAACAGCAGGAGCAGGCTGTGGGGTGCAGATTGTGGACGCATGTCTAGTGAAGATCTGGGAACAGTTCTTTTCAGTCCTGGAACTAAAAAATAATTGTATTTTGTCTTCAGAATTTGTCTTTTCCCAGTTTCCAATGTCTCGTCTGTAGTGAGGTGTTTTTCTGGTGCGAGGGATCCTTTGTCCAGCTACGAGGGCTACCCTGTGAGCCTGGCTCTCATCTTTCAGTCTGAAAAGGAAGTGCATGAGACTCAGTAATATTGTCACAGGACACTGTGCTCGGGCAAAAGAGGAAAGACTGACTATAAAACCACAGTGAACACTAGTTACTGAAATACTTGACTAAATGAAACACTTTTTACATTTTTTTTTGCGAGATGGCTTTATGCAATTCACACTTAATCAAAGACGCGTTTAATTACATATAAAAATGCTGATTTTGACTAGTGTTCCTCATAAGCACTTTTCCTGCAGAGAGAAATTTAAGGCTGAATCCATTTATATAAATAAAAACTGTGTGGACATGTGATATTTGTTTTCCAATGAAACCTGTGGGTGCGGTTGTTATAAAGAATTCTTTGCAGCGCGTTTCAGTGCTTGACCAACCATTAAACACATTCTTACAGGGAACACTGGGTAGAAGCCCCTTAACTTGGAGATATTTCCATCCAGTAAATGTAAGATTACTATGGGGGTTTTATAGCGCAGATTTTGTGTTTTTTACCAGATGTGACCAAACACACATTTCTGGATTAGTTTAGTTAAATTTTCATTGTTTTTTACCGCCATCAGCCACATGTCTATGTAACGGGAAAACATTGTGCCGTGGTCACATTTTAATTAATGGCCGAAATGGCTTATGAGGTAACAGCCCTCAAATGCCCTTTACATTAATTAAAAAAGGTTTTATGTTTACATTCTAAAAAATCTTATAAAATCAGTGCTTTCATAATATATTCAAAGGGAGAATAGGCACTTTAACATAGGTATTGCGGGAGATTTTTAATTTGGTTATGGGGAAGCCGACAGATGCTGAAATGTTTTTTGACAGAGCACATAGAGCCCTGTGCCCAAAAGGGGCCCCACTAGACAGACCCAGAGATGTAGTGTGTCACCTACATTATTACTCTCAAAAGGAGGACATTCTTAAAGCTCTAACAATCTACTCAACTGCTACATTATAGAGTAGCTCCCATATCTGTTTGCCCAGATTTATCATGGCTGACTCTGCAGACCAGGAGGGCCCTCAGACCCATCACAGACAAGCTACAATATACGCTACAGATGGGGATTCCCTTTGGCACTTAGTGTCACGCACCAAGGCACGGTACACACCATCCACTCCATCCAGGATGTCCCTGTATTTCTCAGGCACAGAACTTACCATCTACACAGATACAAGATTGGTATGGACTACCACAGCCGGAACAGAAAACACACGTACCACAATGCCCAAGATGGCAACAGACACCAAAGAGGAGAAGGCCAGACCAGGCTGAAGCATCATAAAGAGTGGCTACACCTAGAGGAACTGAAACACAAAAGAAACAGAGGAAATTAGGGGTAGCGCCACAATATGGAGTAATATAGAATATGGTCCACCATTTTATTTGCAGCTGCAAGGAGAAAAGCATTATGTGATATGTAGTTGGCCGTTAGGGAGACAGAAGCCAGTTTCCCGGGCGTTTGCGGGTTCGTGTATCCAAAATTAGTTCCACGCCGTCAACGATCATGTACCGCTGTCCTCGTTCGGGAGACAAAATGGCCACCAATTGTTTGAATACATGCGTTCGGTTATATGAACGGCGGCCACACAGGGAAAGCACTTATAACCAATTTGTGGTTAACAGCCAGGGATGTTCGGTGATTATGAAGGTGTGAACAAGGATCCGCACAATGAGGGGTTCGGTAAATGAACGGGGCATACGGACAGCCAAACAAAAAGGGGGATAAAAGTATTTTGGAGTTCTCCATTCTGCTACAGTATCCAACTTGTCTTGATGCAATTCTTTGTTGGTGCTTTATAAATAATAATAAGAATAGTGTGTCCTGTTAATCAAACATCTTACCTCTCTATATCCAGGAATGTAAAGGTACGTCTTTCTGATTTGTATTTACTTGTTACTTTTTATCCTTAGAGTGAAGTATAAATTGTTGGGCAATATTCGCTTTTACCTGTATTAATTAATGCAGTTTTTAGATCCTTAAGACTCTGGGGAATAAAGACTTCGTAGCACATGTCAAAACAAACAGAATGTTCTGGGTTCTAGTTACTTCCATTAACTTGCATTCCAAATGCCGTATATGACGTATCGGCTGGATTCCGATTACCAGAACTGACGATTAGCATTGTAGACCTGTGAGAAATTTAGCACCAGTTTTGACAGACTCCTATTTTGGGTAGGGCCTTTATAGGTAATGTGGGAAGGGCTACAATATGGCATTTCATGAAGACTGGAAGTGTTGAAACACATTGTACTGTTGTGCTCAGCTCATCGATATATCTTGCGGTTTTATTTTTTCTAAATATAGGCTAATAAAGTGTTTTCGGTATCCTGGCTTCCATTGCTCTCCCAGGGAGTTGAGGCAGGTAAGAAAGCAGCCTCCCCGCTCCTATATGGCCTGATACATTAAAGCACACTGATACCGCCTATCTCCAGCGAGTAAAGGGGGCGAGCCAGTGACACAGTTTCTTCACTAGCTCTACTAAACATATTGGGGGGGGTTGGTGTTCTAAATCCCATCCCTAGTAACAAACAAAGAGACGAGTGATGGAGGCAGTGGTCTCAGCTGGATCCTTGGGTTCTTGGCAGGGTCCTAGTGCCCTAAACATGACGATAGTGTATCTTATTTTATTTTTTTTAAATAGCTCTTTATTGACAGAAAGCATACAAGAGTTCAAGGTATACATTTTAGAACTGAAGGTTTGGCAATATGCAGTATACAGATGGTACATTTGAAATTTGCAGATATTGATTATTCCTACAGCTTAACACCTGTTGACATCTGCGTTGTACTGGAGACCATTATAATTAGTAGCTTTCCTGTTTGACAGTTTGTCATACCCACTCGTCATCTGTGAGGTAGCCTATGGTGAACTATGTTTGTTTTTATTTTCACATGTTAACTAGGCATATCACAAGTTGTTATGCATAACAAAGCAATTCGCTCTGCATTCAGTATTAAAGAAATGGGATAATTTAAGTGGAAAAGAAATGGGGTACTTGTAGAGGGGGGAAGGTGGAACGGGGGTAGGCAGGGATACTTGTTTGGCTTCTGCTTTCAGGGGTTCATGCTACCCATTGGATATCCTCAAGGGGTGGGGGGGGATACTGTGCTTTTTTTCCCCATTCCTCGGTCATGTGCCATTGCCCGAGGCATGAGAGAGGTATTTGGGCATATTAAACCCCTGCTCCCCCTCTGGAGAGTGTCAAGTCATCGCGTCTGCTTATTAGTGTAAGTGTTTGATATGGTTTTCCCTATTGAGGGGGTGGCACTCGGGTTGGGTTTCGGATCGGTCACTTGGCCACTTGGGCCATCATCTGTGTCTGACTGCCATGGGTATGGGTGCAACGTTATAAGCCTTCCCTTGGAGATCTCTCACATGGGGCAGATGTCAGTTTCGGTCTGGACGTTTTTTAAGAATTTACATCAGGGCTCCCATGTGTCTAAGTATATTTGGTAGTTCTTTGAAAGGGATAAGCAAATCTCTTCCATTATCCTTATGCCCTCTACTTTTTTTATCCATTCCCTGATGGATGGAGAGTTAGCTTTTTTCCAGTGTATTGGAATAAGTTGGGACGCCGCGGTGAACAGGTTTCTGAGGAGCATGGTAACAACTTTTGGTAGGGGGTGAGTAGTATGTGGAATATGAAGGGTTTGGGTGTGAATGGTAAGTGCTCCTCCGTGATGTTTTGGATAAGTCTGGACACTCTGGTCCAGTATTTTTGGATTTCTGGGCAGGACCACCAAATATGCGCTGTGTTCCCCTGTAGGCATCTCAAACATAATGTGTTTGTGTATAATCGTTTAAGTTTGGCAGGGGTATAGTGCCAGTGGGATAGGTTTAGTTCCTTTTCCCAGCTAGCTCTAAACAGGAGGGAATATGGCAGTTGTGTATCGTGTAATAGTGTATACATGGTGGTTATCAGTTTCCTTTTCAGAGTATGTTGCCGACACAGCTGTTCAAATCGTGTGAGTGTACAATTGCCACTGAGAGTATACTTTACCACTTGTAGGAATTGTGTAAGTTGTTGGTATTGGAAATTTTGTAGTGTCATATGTTCTCTATCTGGTAATAAGGAGTCTAGTGGTTTAATTTCGTTGTCATCTAGTAACGCGAGTAAAGTAAGGTAAGGGGTGGAGTGGTAATCCTTTATATGTGGTCCCATCTTCACCTGGTTTGAAGAGTGGGTTATGTGAGATTGGATAGAGTGGGGAAGGATTTGGAGAGATATCAGTATGACGCCTGATGTGCGACCACAGTCTTAATGTGGGATATGGTTGGGTGTTGTGAATGTGTGAGTAGTGTTTGCCCCGATTTGTGCCACGGCACCGTGTAGATGGGGACGCGGAAGAACGCATCTTCAATGGCCACCCATTGTTTGTCTGTGTCAACCTCTGTCCAGTCGTATATTCTGGCCAGTAGTACCGCATCATGTTATGTCTCCACGTTAGGGAGTCCCAGTCCTCTGTCTGTCTTCGATCTAGTCTGTAGTGAGTATACTAGTCTCGAGTACTTGTGTGACCAAATGAATGGTGTAAATAGTTTGCGTATGGTAGCAAAGAATGTTTTTGGTAGGGTAATAGGAAGGACTTGGAGTAAATATAAGAGTCTGGGTAGGACATCTTTAGTATGTTTATCCTGCAGAACCAGTCAAATTGCAGTGTGTGCCATGATGTGAGATTTTTGGATATTGATTGAATGAGGGACGGGAAGTTGCAGTCATAAAGTTGGGATAGTGTTGAGGGGAGTGAGACCCCTAGATATTTGAGGGATTCCTTCGCCCAAGCGAATGCGAAGGTCGATTGTAATTGTGTTTTTACTAGGTCTGGTATGTTTAATGGCAGGATCTTGCATTTTCTTAAGTTTGCCTGGAAGTTTGAGACCTTGCTGTTCATGGACATTTCACACAGTATGCGGGGCAAGGAGTGGACAGGGCCAGAAACTGTGAATAGCCGACACTTTGTGTTCCATCCCCCCGGTTAAGAAGCCTTTGACATTGGAGTTGTCCCTTACCCCTTGTAGGAAGGGTTCAAGTACGAGGACGAAAAAGAGTGGGTATAGGGGGCACCTCTGTCTCGTGCTGTTGGCGATTATGACCTGTTCAGATAATTGGCCGTTGATGCGAAGCCTCATCGTCGGTTTGGAATAGAGTGTGCCCAACCAACGTAGCTGGTTTGGGCCAAACCCCATCTGCTTTAGTGTGCCCAGCATTAAGGACTAATCCACCCTATCAA